AAAAAAAAAAAAAAAAAGAAACGCTTAGAAATGTAATGTAATGAATCAGACGGAACGAGTCCTTTTTTTTTCTTTTTTTTTTTTAACGAATTTTAATGCCGGCGGGGAGAAGGAAAAATAACTCACACAGAGATTTTGTAAACTGAATCTCTCGACAGTTGTGGCTAAATACACTCAGAAAAGTACAAGCGGGAGTTGAAAATACACCCCCTAATAGTTAGGATGCATGACGTCTACTTTTTTTTTTTTTTTTTTTTTTTGCCCTCCTTAAGGCTTCATCTATTGCTGGGGAGCGTCCCTGATGAGGGATGAAGGGCGTACTCACACTAGTAGAGTATGTCAAATGTATCTGACCGCATTCACGGCCATACCTGGATGTATCTGGCCGCAATTCCATACAAAAATACGTAAAAACGTGTGAGTATGCCCTAACACTCGAACAATAAGAAGCCGCGAAGCAATACGAGGCTACCTTCTCCGCCCCGAACACAACGCCCTGTCATTGTGATTGTATCTGGCCTGAAATTCGCGATATATACAATTATTATTTTACAATAATGACCGTGCGTTGTATTCGGAGAGGAAGAAGTACTCACAGCCCGGAGGACCATTCAGAAAAAAAAAAAAGTTAAAAATTAATGCAAAAATACTGCATACTATTTTATTGTTAATATGATTACGAATATATCAACAAAATCGCACTGCCATTCTCCTGGAAGAGTCTGGCTAATTTTGCGGCCAGATCCATTTTGGAACGTGGAAGGACGAACTGACTTTTCTTTTACATGATAATAATATAATACTGGTAAGTGTCCTTTCGGGTCATCCTTTGAAATTGGAACACGATAATTTTTTATTTTTATTTTTAATTTTTAAAGTTTTTTTTTTTTTCCGAATATAAAGTAAAATTGGAAGTTGAGACGATACAGAGAAGAGACGAGAAGCCTGGCCCCTGCGCATTCAAGGATAGAACACGATTTAAAGGGCCATCGGCCAAAATTTGAATGTGTCCTGATGCATCCAAAATGTTGGCTGATGGAAGAGTAGTGCAGACTAGGCCCTAACTCGAGAAAGGATCCAAATACCAATGAGCCTAGCTCAAGGCGTACTCCGACTAGCACTGTCTTGAATGTACCTGACCGCATTTCTGGCCTGACTTATATGCATCTGGCCGCAATTCTGTCCAGAAACAAGTAAAAACGTGCTAGTGTGAGTATGTCCTCAGTTGGTACACCCATCAACTTTTGAAATACAGATTCAAGTTCGAATCCAGATCGACCTACTAGATGTATGCAATGAAATTTATGTAATTAAAAATGAAATTTATTTAATTATATATATATCGTCGTCACAAACAGAACTGCCCGGTAAACCGTAGGCAGAGAGAGAGAAGAGGACAACAAACGAGAGGCTGTGACAAACTGTTTCGTCGGAGTTTCACCGACTCATCAGGAGGCTGAACCCTCAACAGTCTGCAGAACCCCCTCACTGATTACACTGTAAATGATAATCTACCTTAACCAAAATCAAAGTAGACTCACTCACCCACACCAGATGGAAAACTCTACAGACTGTCGGTTCACATATCTATATCTATATCTATATTCTGAATTACCGTCGATGATGGTATCTCAAGCCCGTCGCTCTTTAAAGAGGGAGGAAGAGGGGGAGAAGGGAGAAGGGAGAAAAGGGGAAGAGGAAGGAACAAAAGAAAAAAAAGAAAAAAAGGAAAAAAGAAAAGGTTGTTACGAAATAATACTGTCTATCAGCAAAATCGCACTACCATTCTCTTGTCAGAATGTGGCCAAGTTTGAGTCCAGATCCAGTCGGAAACGTCGAGGACGAAGTTGTTCGCTGACGAAATTATTATCTATGAATAATAATACTAATATAGAATAGAATAAGCCTAATTCTTTTAAGCCCCAAGCAATTCTTCTTTGTTTTTTTGACGTCATATGATGGGCAATGATTGAAGTCGAAAAAAAAAAATGATTGAAGTCAGAATAATAATAATAATAATAATAATAATAATAATAATAAAATGTTTCTTTTTTTTTTAATCAATGATTTTTCTTTGCGTCGGGACGTGTTGAACTTGGATTTTATTTAGGATGACCGCAGGGTGCGTTGTGTTCGGGGGAAGACGGTATTCGCCGGCCAGCTCAGTAATGTGCAGCTTCCCCACGGATTAGGGCCTACGTAGTTGCACCACTGGCCATCCGCCAACATTTTGAATGCATCTGGACAACGGTCCTGTCCAAATTCATTCGAAATCTTGGCGGATGGCGAGTGGGGTAGTTGCACCACTGGCCTTCCGCCAATATTTTGAATGCATTTGGACAAAGGTGCTGTCCAAATTCATTCAAATTCGTGTTGAATGGCGAGTGGTGCTACTACCTATAGGCGCTAAGGGCGTGGCCGCACGGCACACGAAACGAGAAAAACGAAACGAGCGCATCTTTCCCACAGCAAATGGACACGTTCGTCGATTTGCTATAAATAGTCGATGACTCTAACGAGTGCATCTTACCAGCTTTCGTGGGCAGATGCACTCGTTTCGGTTTCGTTTCGTGTGTCGTGCGGCGACGCCCTTAGGGCGCCTAGAGGTAGACTATAGGTAGAGTAGCACCACTCGCCATCCGCCACGATTTTGAATGAATTTGGACAGGACCGTTGTCCAAATGCATTCAAAATGTTGGGGGATGAATGGCCAGTGCTGCATGCACACTCGCCATCCACCAAGATTTTGAATGAATTTGGACAGGACCGCTGTCCAGATGCATTCAAAATGGCGAGGTCCTACTAAGAAAATTAAACGAAGCCAGCGCGTCTCATCGACCCAGCAAAGTCCCAACTGAGGGAGGGGAATATCACACACTAGGACTTTCCTGGATGTATCTGACCGGAATATATGCAGCCGGAGATGGATGTATCTGACCACAATTACGTTACGGCCATAGCTCAGTCGAAAAAGTCCTAATGTGTGTAGAGTACATATGCTCTCAGGGCCGAGGTCCCACTAGCAAAAAGGATAGGATCGAGCTCGTGAATCTGGATGTGTTTTATGCAGAGATGCAGAAAAGCAGTTCAATCTCGATTTCGTGCACCTGTTTACAAACACGTCCAGGTTCAGGTATTCGATCCGATCCTCTTTGCTAGTGGGACCACGCCCCAGGAGGATTTGATAGTAGACTGGGAATAGGGAATGGGTTTGATGAGTTCAACAGATGATGGAATTCTGTAGGGGGCAAAAAAAAATAAAAATAAAAATTCTGTAGGGGGTAAATCGCGTCACTATGGGTCCTTCAAAAAACGAGGCTGGACCCCGGGGGCAAGTCCCACTAGCAGCGTTGAGCTACCTCAACGCCTGAATCTGGACGTGTTTGTGGGAGACGTGAAGTTCAGCAAACTCAACACCATTTCTGCACATCTCTGCAAAAGCGTCCAGATTCAGGCGTTGAGGTAGCTCAACGCTGCTAGTGGGACTTGGCCCCCGGGTAGAAATGTGAGGTCCCCGGCCTCTGTTCATGACATTTCAATACCAAACACAGATCTGGAAAAAAAAAAAAAAAAAAAAAAAAAAAAAAAAAAAAAAAAAAAAAAAAAAAAAATTTAAAAAAAAAAAAAAAAAAAAAAAAAAAAAAAAAAAAAAAAAAGACACAACAACAACAACAACGAAGCTGTGGGTAGTGTGGGGAGGCCGGCCCCTATCCTCTTCATGAGTGAATTGAATGTGTGCTTTTTAATATTAAAAAACGGAAAAAGAAAAAAAGTATATGCTCTCAGACAGTGCTTTTGCAGCTTCCTACTAGTAGTAGCAAAAAGGATTGGATCAAGCGCCTGAATTTGGATGTGTTTTCTGCAGAGATACAGAAAAGCAGATGGATCGCGATTTTATGAGCCTCTTCCCCCCCCCCGCTAAAGAAGTGCATGTGAATGTTTTTTTTTTCCCAATATATATACTGAGGAATATATATATTTTCTTTTTTTCAAGTTGAGTTTTTGGCCCCCCCCCCCCCCCCCCCCCCCGTTTCCGTTTACGATTCCGTTTACGTTTCTGCTTTTCCTCCGTTTGCCCTTCCCGTTTGCGATTCCGTTTCCGTTTGCAGTTTTTTCCGTTTGCCCTTCCGTTTGGTTCTCCGCGTTTTTCCGTTTGCGTTTCCGTTTGCGTTCTCGCCTGTTGCGCGTTTTTCCGTTCCGTTCCGTTCCGTTTACAGTTTACTTGGTGGTCCCCTTTCGTTTCACTTTCCCTTCCCTTCCCGTTCGCGTTTCGTTTGCTCTTCTTTTTTTTCGTCCCAGGTTAAAAATACTCAGCACGAATTTATTTTATTCTCTTCATCTGATTGATTGATTGATTGATTGTATCATTTGGACCATTTCTCGATTTATGAGTGTCATCAGCCTTGCGCAGGGGCCATGCTAATCTCCCCCTTCTCTGCCTCGGTCCAATTTTAATTTTCACGGATGCCCCGACGGACACGATTGCATCATTTGGATTCGAACTTGGGTCTGTGTTTCAACTGGGCAACGTACGGTTGGCCCGTACGTACGTACGGAAATTGCTCGGTGGGTGTACCATTTGGGCCCGTTTGCACGTGCCACGGCATCTGCGTGTGTGTGTGTGTGTTTCTCTTTTTTTTTTTTTGGGGGGGGGGGKGCATACAGGAAGAGCTTTTTCGACTACCGTATTCCTCCGAACACAACGCACCCTCATTTTGACGGTATCGGGCCGGAAACATGCCTTGCGTACGTTCATTTTCAGGGTGCGTTATGTTCGGGGGCTGGGAAATAGGACCAGCGTCCCGCACATGAATAGCCGCGGCCCACAGGGATGAGCCTTTTTTTTGTCTATGTCCAATGGGAGAAACGAATGTGCAACCTCCGTTTTGGCCGTTCGTTTCCGTTTGCGTTTCCGTTTGCATTCCGTTTGGGTTCCCCTTTGGGATTGATTAACTGTCGATTAGGTAGCAGATTGAGATTGGCTGTGAGAGGGGCCTGTAGAGAGAGGAGGCAGGCCTCCACTACCTCAATTACCCTCATTAAATGGGTTTTACTACCGTACAAATTCGCCTACTTGCTGTCAGTTTTAAACCACCAGTACTTGGCCCAGCTATCGGTCGCGGAGAAAAATAGAGTAGAAACGTTTCTAGTCGGATGAATTTGGGCGCTTCTGTAGTGGCCCGTACATTTCCTAAAGGCGTGGCTTGTTTACGGGCACGACTTTAGGATGTACTGGGGTGGTTTAAGCGGAGCTGGCTAACCGAATGAGCATCATTGAGAGCACAGACGATATGAAGATTGGAAGTGAAATGAATGGAAGTATGAAGATGGAAGGACAGACACAAGGACTAAGAAGTATAAGAGTATGAGCTGAAGATGTGAAGAGAAGTGAACAGTAGTATGAAGATCGGAAGTGAAATGCACAGAGAGCAGAGTACCTTCCTTCCCTCTTACTCTGCCTCCTCCTGTTATAACGTGCAAGTGGGGCGTTGACGCGCACGGGGATGTGGGCAGCTGCCGCTCAACCAGCATCAACGTGGCCAGCCTTGTATGTGTGAGGCATAGTAATAGAGGAGCTGTTGCCCCGAAGAAACCCCAGCTTAACACAATTCAAAATGGCTCAATTATGATTCACGTTGCTTGCTAAAGAGGTGAAATTCTTTAATTGTTGAGCTGGCTCAACTCGTATCTACTCGACTGGATGGAATAGGGAGGCCGTTGTGCTGCAATTTTAAACACACACACACACACACACACACACACACACACACACACACACACACACACACACACACACACACACACACACAGAGGGAACCACTTTTCTCTCTCAGGGATAGGTATTGCTAACTCTGGGCGATGTGGTGAGTCCTTATTTATCCTTAAGTCAAATGCATCCTGGGCAGACTGTCTGTCCAGGTTCAACCTCCTCCTGATGAGTTCGTGAAAGTCCAACGAAACAGTCTGTTCAGCACAGTCATGCTTTTTTTGAGTGCATAGCAAATATGAAACACACACACACACACACACACACACAGCTAGTGTGCTTGATTGTAATTTTTCTATGCAGCTAGTGTGCTTGATTGTAATTTTTCTTCATCCGAATTTCGGAATCGAGAACGACTTGTTGCTGTGTTTTTAGTTTGATTGGAACTCTGTCAAAGGGCCTGACTCCACTCCACTAACACAAGACTCTAGATGCATTAGATGCATGCATTTGGACTGTGTTTCTGGGTGGGATGCATTCAAAATGTTGGACTCGTCCCAATGCACCTGGACAAGGAACTTAAATTTTGGCAGTACTCTTTTGTCGTTATCTGTTTTGTGTTCAGATGCCCCAGCAACATTTGTCTGGTGTCAGTGGTGTGATCAATTTTGGCCCGACGGAATTTCTGCTGCCCTTCTTGTGCAATACGATCAGTTGGAGAGTGGCGGCGGAATTTTCTTGGGGTGTCAACAAAGGAATTTCAGATATCGGCTCCCGCCATAGCTGCAAGCAATTCACAAGGTGTCTTCTCCTCCTCCTCCTCCATCATCTGTCGCCCTGATACGAGCAACGACTGCCCAGATCTCTCAAATACGAGCGACTGCTTTGTTCGTTCCAAGGCGCTGAGTCATGGCTGCCGCTGCTCCTAAACGATGGACAATCCCGACCCCTGCTCCAGCTGGCAAAAAATCGTCCAGGTGAATGAATTGTCTCTCCCACCCCCTCTCCCCCCTTTCCCTCCCTCTCCCTCCCTTTTCCCTCTCTCTCTCTCTCTCTCTCTTTCTCTCTTTCTCTCTCTCTCTCTCTCTCTCTCTCTCTCTCTCTCTCTCTCTCTCTCTCTCTCTCTCTCT